TAGGTAGGTGGCCTGTTTGTCGTTTCCAACTCCAGCGTGGAAATTGTGAAGGTGATTTTAATTATAACGGTATTGGTGCGATGTAATTAAAAATATATATCTACAAATGTATAATAAAAAATTTAATGTGTAAAAATTAATTCGAAAAATAACGCAAATTAAAATTTAGGATAAAACGAAAAAGTAAAGCACAGTGCAATTGCGCGAGGGGCAAAACAGCGTAAAGTGCAATTAAGTGACGAATGCGAAGCTGAAAACAAAGTGAAAATTCCAATAAGAAAAAGAGAATAAGGAAATAAATCAACAAAAATAAAAATCTGTTAAAATAATAATACATAGTTAAAAGTAAAAAAGTTGAGAAGTGTTTTCGAAAAATGTGAAATTGTCTCATTCTTTGTGCTATTAAACAGCAAAAGCTCCAAAGTGAAAAGCAAAGTAAGCAAAGGCTTGCAATTATTATTACCTACTATAAGTTAATAATTCCAAGCAGGCAGCGTCGGGCGTGACGTCTCTGTCGCCTCTGCAGCAGTGCCAAAATGTGGATATCATCCAACAACAAATACGGCGTTGGTAAGTACTGCGAACGCGCCCAAAAGCCGACTACTCCCATACATTCATACCCTGCAGGGAAAGCTACTCGTTGTGAACTAAATTCTACCAGTTTGCCCATGATAGCGACTGGCGATGTCCTACGAGATGTCAGTTGTCAGACTATGCATCAGCGTCCACTAACATAAATACTAGTAACATCATACCAGTTGGTTAGATAATCCGCCAATTCATAAAGCATAAGTATGCCATTTTGCTCGCTCGCGCTCCAAGAGTGGCAATGGCCGACAGAGCAAAGTACTGGTGTGGCATTCCTGAGGTCCATGGTTCAAGTCCTAGCGCGGGGGAAATTTTTTTATTAAGGTTTTTGATGTAATTTTTAAATTTAATTTAAAAACAATTTTGTTTTATAAATTTATTTTTATTTTATTTTTTTATTAAGGATATTTGTTATAATTTTTAAATTTAATTAAATTATTTTTTTTTTTATTAATTTATTTGTTTTATGATACAAGTATTCTTACCATACGTACATATGTTTTTTTGCAATCAAATTAGATCTCAAATATGTAATTATATTCACTTACATTGATTTAACGTGAAAAATTGTTACCACCTCCAAGTGGACTCGAACCAGCGATCTCAGAAGCAGAACCGATAGTCTACACGCGACGACACAGCCGACATTTGTAAGAAACGGAATTAATTGCGTTTTAGTTTTAACTTTGACGATTCAAAGGCAGATTTCGCTGAACGCTTAAGTTCTTCGAAATTGTCGAACGCCACCTACATTGCTTTAGCACATACTAGTTAATGAACTAGTATTTTTACTGACTGGTTTGGCTTTTCACTGCAGGGTATGTACATAAATATACCGACTCTGGGTGGCCACTGTCAACCCCCAGTTGCGCAGGTGGTGGCAATGATATAGATGGCTGCCGGTGCTAAACAACCACCCGCATACTATATACGCTACTCATCAGTTTTTTGTATGTATCGGACTTGGTACGTACATATAGCACACCTTAATTCATACATATCTAGGAAGTATACATACATAAGTACATATATAGTATGTGAATGCATCTGTAGTGGAAATGTTTTTGTGCGGTAACATGCGGATTTTCTTATGAATCACGTTTGCTTTCCTCGAATCTGTGACGCTGAATTCTGATGAGGCGTTCGTCATTGCAGCCACAGCCACGGCCCCGGAAAATCGTTCACTCATCAGCTACGCCGTTTCCGCCTTTTGTTTCTCTTTGCTTTAATGTTTTGTTTTATTTTTCTTTGTTTCTCTGCTCTAGCGTATTTTGCTTTGCATGGACGCACTTTTTTACTCATTTCTTTGCATAAATTTGTTTTTGTGATATTTGCTGCGCTTGGAGCAAGTGTGGAAAAGAAAACATCTCTCAGGTGTTATTCTCTTTCAGGATCACCCTTGAAAAAATTTAAGAAATGATACGGTGTAACAAAATCAAGAAAATTACACCAATGTTAACAAAGTACAGCTAATTCCCAAAACCGCTTCATTACAACAACACCAGGAGCAGTGTATTTGTATATGCAGGTACATACATATGTACATATGTACATTAGACTCCATCACTTAAAAAGTTGCGGGTTTTCCGCCGAGACTAGATACACAAATTTATTACATCTGAAGACTTGACCAAAATATTTCGAAAAAATATTAGATAGGTTTTACGTGAGCTGGACCGATTTGAAAATACCTCCGAAATTTGAGATTTTTTTTAATAAAAATAGTTTTATAAAGAATTTTTTGAAAAAAATCCCCTTAGATGACAAAACAGTTTAAGCTTCAAAAACCTGCATGAAAATATTATTATTAATACTTACTTATGCGGTGTTAGTGGAAAGATATTTTCTCACCCTTTTTCTTTCTGTGCAAAGAAATTCATTCGCGTCCCACTTTTTTAATTAATTAATTTTTTTTTTAATACCAACACATCTTTATTGAACTTGAAGGAGTATAATTTCATTCATCTTACCCTTCTTTTTATACTTTGAATCAGTTTATTTGCAAAGAGGAAGGGAGCAAAATACATACCCTTCCAATGATACCTCATAAGTCTTTATCGATAAAGTTGTGGTTGAGTTATTCAGGTTTTCAAAAATCTCATTGTTATGATTCCGTTGAATTTTGTTTTTAATATTTTAATATTTTTATGGAAACTTTTTAAGCTTAAACTGTTTTGTCATCTGAGGTAATTTTTTTCAAAAGATTCTTTAAAAAAAAAAACTATTTTTATTCATAAAAAACTCAATTTTTGGAGATATTTTGAAATCGGTCCAGCTCGCGTAAATCTTAGTATTTTTTCGAAATATTTTTTGGTGCAAGTCTTAAAAAATAATAGATTGGTTTCATAAACCTGGCTCTTTCATAATAACGGGATTGATTTCATAAATCTGCATGCCAAGTTCCACGGTGCCACGCCCCCTTTTAAAATAGCCGTCATTTTTTCCATAAGCTTGAGATTAACTTCATATACATATGTATGTATGTATTTCCATTCCCCCTTTTCCAATAACCCCCATTTTTTTCCATGACTATGGGATTAACTTTATATATAGGGTGATCCATCTATACCTATTTTTTAAATCAAAACAAAACACTTAAGAAAGAACTGGACGTCATAGTCTTCATTTATACCTAGAAGAACTTTAACGTTTGAAAAAAATTATTTTAAAAAAGTAAACGTCATAGAATGTTCTTACAGCTGATAATAAATATGTAAATTAAAAAGGTCTAGATAGATCACCCGTTATATGTATGCATTTACAAAGACTTTTTTTACCATCGTTTTCTGCTCGTATTTTTTTACTTCATTGTTTTCCCTGCGAAGCAGGAATCGGATCCATTGTAATGTTTGCAGAATTCTCATTAAGTGGCTACTTAAGAATGTGCTAATTGATAAAATTATATGATTGCGTACCTATATATTGTATGTATGTATATGTATGTACATATTTCATATGAATAACTGCGTAGATATGCACTTGAATTTAAATATTTAGTAGCAGGGCCATTTTTTATATTCATGTGTATATACATACAGATGCGATCAATGAATTAACACCGAAATTAAAAAGGATATATGTATGTAGTTTGCAACTTATGTATGTTTATTTTTTTTTTGTTTTTAGTAATAGTTTTCATTGAAAATATAATTTAATCTATTACCACGTTTATACCTACGGAAGAAGCGCATTAAAAAAACCGATTTGGCTTATTATAGATATTTGTTTACTAATTAAAAATTATAAAGAAAATCAGCCGATTCTTCTGTGTTGCAAAGACCAGGTGGAGAAGGACTTAGTTTCACTTGGCACATCCATCCGCCAGTAAAGAAGAAGAAGAAAACATTCACGAATTAAAAAAAAAAATTGTCAGACTTCAAACAATTGTCATCAATATTTCAAAAATGTCAATTAGAATCTTTGGATATACAGTATGCGGGTATGCAATTTTGTAGCCCATTCAGTTTCAGTCTGATAAAGTGCAAGTTTCAAGTTGCTAAAAATTACCGAATTTGCGATTTTTTTTTTTAATTTAAAAACACCGTCAACAGAAACAATTGCGAAAAATCAACGGTAATTTCTAGCGACTTCAAACTTGCACTTTATTAAAGATTCTGATTACAAATCCGAAATAATTCCAGAAATTCTGAATAAAAACTGTGAGATTATGATGGAAATTTTAAGATTTTTTTTTATTATTACAAATCCCAGCCAGCAAAATATCCGGATACGTATCCGAAAATGGAAACGATTTCGTATTAAAATATGATATTGCATCCGTTTTCCGATTCGTTTTTCAGATCCATTCTCCCACTAAAGTGTTCATCCGAAATTGGGGAAAAAATTGTTGCAACTTTTTTTTCTTTGTAAATTTGCTTGCATCTCGAAGCATTGCTCCATTCCAGTAATCAACGTTTGTGCCGCTGAGTTGGGTGAACGTTCCAAAAGCTGCCATTCAGTCGCTTGTTTTGTATGGAAAAAGTTTTCACATGCAAATAGATTTTAAAAATTTAGAATATTTTAGAGACCAAGTACTTTAATTGATAAAAAAAAAAAATCAAAGCAGCTTCTCTACTGATACTACTTACCTGTTCGATATGCCTTGGTACTGTACGATTTTGACTTACACTGTATAAGTATAAACATTGGAATTGAGTAAATTGAATGCCTAGTTTGCCAATTTTAAGTTTATTTTCATAATTTTAGTCACTTTTACACCCCTGCGTCGTTTAGAACACTCTGTTGAAAAGAAGAAAATTTTCACGTTTAAGTATGCACAATGCTTCCAATGCATAAAACATTGCAGTTGATTTTATATATTTTGCTTTAAATATATTTGCAATAAAATTAAGTTTTATGTTTCTACATGAAAACTCAAATTTGGACGAAACAAAATAACTACATATTAAACCGGCTGATTGTCAACGCACGCAAAAAGATGGGAGTCGGCTATCTTTTTGCTTTGCGCTGCAGCTTGAACGATCTATGTGCATTTTCATACAATTCATCTTATGTGTCAAAGCGAATCTGTCACGCAAAGCTAAGCAAAAGTCTTATGTGGCATCAGCTTTAGATCCATAATATAATTTTGAATACCTCAGCGATGGAAGTATTCTATTTGACTATGAGTATCTGTTAGATATTTTATTTTTTATTGATTCGAATCTAAAATAGGCGAAGACAGTAAACTACTGACACATGTTAATAAACACTATTATAAAGAGAACAAAACACTTTTATAAAAAAGTAAAAAAATTAGTCAGTACTAAAAAATCCCGCTTTCTTAAAATTATTGAAGTACCGAAACATATAGTCGATTCTAAAAGGTACTCGATACTTTCTCCATCACTAATAATGATACTTACTATGTACATACATATATATGAATATAAATGTATGTGACAATTGATTATCACTTGCTTTAATTGTTGACAAATTATAGTTGCATGTCAGGAAATTGATAACAAAATGCCGTAAGAGTA